ATGCATGACTATGGTTGGATTCACTTGACCTTTCCAAAAGCTTAAAAAAATTCATGACTTGGTTGTTTAAACCCTTGGATTGGTTAGCTAGATGCAAGAAATTTTTGTTTAAGACATCTCTATCTTTCATGCAATGTCTACTATGATGATAATGTTCTCCACAAATAAAATACAAATCATGATTGGCTTGGATTTTCTTAATAACCGGCTTCTTTAAGTTCTTACCCATACCATTTTTAGTCTTTGATGGACTAGTGTTCACTCGTGGGGGTGATCAGTTGGGATTATTCTTCATAAACACGATCATGAAAGAAGTGTTGGTGGTGTTCATGTGTGCAGCCTAGACCACGCTTGTCACCTATGCTTTTTCTCATAGACAACATTTTATCAAGCTTTTCATTGCTTAGGAGTAGTATTTTAGAGAGTTTATTTCATTCATGAAGATCTTTATCTAGTTTAACACATTTAGACTTAAGAATCCTCTTTGACTTTACAAGCTCATGACACACTCTCTATAGGAAACTCACTCCATCAAGAAGAGACTCATTCTTTTCTTCAAACCCACAAATTTGAGCTTTAGACTTGACTTCATTTGTAGTATTTTTCTCTGCTCTTCACTCAATTTTACCCGGCCACTCAAGGCAAACACTTTCTTTCGATGTTTGAGGAATTGCTCATACAATTGATCATAAACATTATGTATACCCTCAAAACACGTTTTTACCATAAGAAATGTAATTTATAACTTGTTTATCCGACATTGAAAGGGTAAATAAATTTCATAGGAAAATAGAGTGGTGGCATTATTTAAAACAATTGTAGTACGAAATAAACTGGCAAGTGATGCCCTTGCAACTTGGGACCTTTTTTGACTACTGTATTAATCTTCGTTTCCTTCTTCCTTTTCTTACAATATGGCCATTGGTTACACAAGGAAGGTAGACCTAAGTATGGCATGCATTACGAGAAGTCCTCAAATCATAAGTCAAATATTTATCATTTAACGGGATTAAAATGCAGATTGGAGAGAGAGAGAGAGAGAGAGAGATTGCCTAATTTTCGATCTTGTAAGGTGGTGAAAATATGGGTTTCATTGTTCAACCATAAATGACCAATCTTTTGCATCAACAACTAATGTTCCCAAATCATTTTACCACCCTGCAGACTCTTGCTTATTATGCCAGTTCTCCAGTAATATATCTAGAATTTTCAGTTTTATTAAAAAAAAATTCATTCAAGCTCCATTTTACCTCTGCACTAACGAGTTGCCTTAGCCCCTCGTTGTCGAAGAAATATACTATAATAGATAGCAATGTACTAGCCCTCTTTGAACTTCAAATTTTCATTCATCATTTCTTAAATTTTTTATTTTTTTAGATTTTTAAAAATCTTATGTGGCACCTTTCTAATGGTGGGTCTGTTATTTACTCTTAACAATAATATCTTAATTCTTTATTTTTCTTTTTTTTTTAATTATGTNTACTATAATAGATAGCAATGTACTAGCCCTCTTTCAACTTCAAATTTTCATTCATCATCTCTTAAATTTTTTATTTTTTTAGATTTTTAAAAATCTTATGTGGCACCTTTCTAATGGTGGGTCTGTTATTTACTCTTAACAATAATATCTTAATTCTTTATTTTTCTTTTTTTTTTAATTATGTGAACTCTTACTTGGTGTATTCGTATTGGTCCATTCTTCAATCCTAATTTACGTATAATTAAGATTACTCATTTTTGGTAATTATCCCTAATCGTTACATTACCTCTATCCCTCCTAATTTATTTATCTATATTACTTATAAATGTCAGCATCTACGAAAAATTTTTGATTTCTTATTTCACCCCTAATTATTATATTAAAAACAATTATGCCCACACAATATTAGCTAGATAAATTTTATCTCTATGACTTTCAAATTTTTTGCTGGATAAACTTTATCACTAATATTCAAAATTTTTGCAAGATATTCCAAAGTTTTTGCAAGATAAATTTTATAACNAAATATTAGCTAGATAAATTTTATCTCTATGACTTTCAAATTTTTTGTTGGATAAACTTTATCACTAATATTCAAAATTTTTGCAAGATATTCCAAAGTTTTTGCAAGATAAATTTTATAACTATATATTAGTTAGATAAAATTAGATAGATAAACTTTATCTTTATGACTTCTAAATTTTTTGCTAGATAAACTTTATCACTAATATTCCAATTTTTTTGCAAGATAAATTTTATCACTATATATTATCTCTATGACTGCCAAATTTTTTGTTGGATAAACTTTATCACTAATATTCTAAAATTTTTGCAAGATAAATTTTATCACTATATATTAGTTAGATAAAATTTATCTCCTCTATGACTTGCCAATACATTTTTTTTTCCATTCAATTCGATAAATTCAATTATAATTCTAATATGATATGAAAAAAAAATTGCTATTTTTTAAGATATAAACACAACCATTGAAAATTCATTATTTATAATTATATAGTAAAAGATTAGAAAAGTAAAGAATTAAACTCATATATTTTTCTTTCTTTCATACCTATTAGACTTTCAAAATATTTTGAACAACTTTATTTTTTCTATTTCACTCCTAGTTATTACATTAAAGACAATTATGTTCACAAAATATTAGTTAGATAAATTTTATCTCTATTGACTTCCAAATTTTTTGCTAGATAAACATTATCACCAATATTTCAAAATTTTATCACTATATATTAGATAAAATTAGTTAGATAAATTTTATCTCTATGACTTCCAAATTTTTTGTTGAATAAACTTTATTATTAATATTCTAAAATTTTTGCAAGATAAATTTTATCACTATATATTAGTTAGATAAAATTTATCTCCACTATGACTTGCCAGTACATGATAAATTCAATTATAATTCTAATATGATGTGAAAAAAAAATTACAATTTTTTAGGATATAAACACAATCATCGAAAATTCATTATTTATTATTATATAATAAAATATTAGAAGAGTAAAAAGTTAAACTCATATATTTTTCTTTCTTTCATACGTATTAGACTTCCAAATTATTTTGAACAATTTTATTTTTCCTATTTCACCCCTACTTATCACACCAGAGACAATTATGCTCACAAAAAACTTTAGCTCTATTATTTTCAATTTTTTTGCTGGATAAACTTTATCACTAATATTCCAAAATTTTTGCTAGATAAATTTTATCACTATATATTAGTTAGATAACATTTATCTCTATAACTTTCAAAATTTTTACTAGATAAATTTTATCACTAAGACTTGTCAGTACATTCTTCTTTTCTATTCAATTCGACAAATTCAACTAGAATTCTAACATGATGCAAAAAAAAAAAAATTCTATTTTTTAGGTAATAAATACAACCGTCAAAAATTAATTAGAAGAGTAAAGAACTAAACCCATATATTTTTATTTCTTTCATACCTATTAGACTTCCAAAATATTTTGAACAACTTTATTAGAAATATATATAGGTAGATATAGAAAGATAGATCTATATATTTCCAATAACTTCATTAACATTTTTGGTCTTATATCTCTGCAAGGTCGACGATGCTTGATGTTGTCAACCTATGAGCTTTTTCTTTTTCTTTGTCAGAACAATGCGTATTGTTGGTATGATATTTTTTTTACTTTGTTTTCCATCTATTTGGGTATGGCTATTACATAAATGCTCTATTTACCTTACAACAATTTTTGTAATTGGAACTAAAATTAATTTGTGTTCAATTAAATTGGTGTTCCCATCAAAATGATAATGAACGCCCAAAAAAAAGTACCTTTCATGGAATGAAGAACTTAATCTGTTAAACTAATCTCCTAATATGTAATTGTTTATTATTAGTAGACTTGTAATGTTTTAGGAGTTATCATACTATAAGTAGAATTAGTTTTGTTACTTAGACTTCTTGAATTCATAGACTTATAGTGTTTTAGGAGTTATCATACTATGAGTAGAATTAGTTTTGTTACTTAGACTTCTTGAATTCATGTGTTGGTGGAATAGTTTTATATTAATAAATTATATTTAAGAGTTTTCTTAGTCTTATGTTGTAGTGCCAAAAATTTTTATTGGATTCAAGAAGCCATTGAATTCATATATCAACATTCTTTTATTTCGTCAACTTAGTACACTTCGTATTTTTAAAAAATATAATCTAAATTTTATGATCTAACGTGTACATTACTAATATACTTAAGTTTAGCTAACTATCCCTCGTCGTGCAGGACCTTCATCCTTTTTAAATGTTTTCTTTATTGACTAAAAACATCTCCATTTTTAATTTTTTTTTAAATTCAAAATTTAAATTTGAATTAAAAATTCCAAAAAGCCTTTTTCCAATATTATACTTAAACTCATACTAAATTAAAGAAGATTCAAATTTTACTCAAATAAAAGACTCCAACATTTACTTAAAACATCAATCCTTAAATTATATTTTCTTTTAAAAATCTAATAATCATATTCTATCCTACTTTAATTTGAATTTATTCATTTTTAACTTTAAATTTCTTCATTGACGTATTTATATCAAATTAAACAATGCTCTAATAGATTTTTATGGTTGCAATTCAAATTAGTATTAAGCCACATAACTAATATTCTGACAATGAAGACTACTTCTGCTAAGTACAACCGTGAATTATTGTCAATTGTCCATGCGTAGTATGGGTTACCACTAGCCCTTCACTAGAGGAGTGTTAACTCGAGTATTTTAAGGGAAATAAAATTATATTTCAACTCATTAAAAGAAAAAAGAACTTTTGAAGGCATTACAAGGTGGAACAAATGAGAGGAAATTTAGAAGTCAAAGGGACTCTTGTGCCCAAAACTACAACAAAACAAGGTACAGGCACAATTTGACAAGATGCACCAGGAACAAAGCATAAAGGTTAGGGCCAAAACTTAGAAACTCTCACTTTCATTCGATGTTAATAGTAGCCGGTGACCTTATTAACCTCTGGTTCTGCGAACTCAAACATGATTGGAATTATGATTGGACTCCTCTGAGGATTTCAGGTACCACTGACTGAGCCGTTCTGCAGCTTTGGCCACCTGTGAGAATTAAAAAAAAAAAAAAAAAAAAAAAAGACCTTTGTAATCAAACAGTGTGTAGACCTTGTAAAGTATGAGCAAGCCAATCATTTAGAAAGAAAAAAAAATTGTATTCGCTTGTGTTCATAAGTTAATGCCTCCTTCCACTAACCTGTTCATTCCAATCAGTTCTCCAAGTCAGGAAGCAAAGTGTAAGCGACTGGGTTACCACCCCGCAGATCATTCCAATCCATATACCCTGTAAATCAAGACAAAATTTCAGCACGACTAGGACAAATGTAGAACCACAGGCACATAAATCCAATTCTAAGGCGACACAAGTATTATCACATAGGCACACTTCTTCCAAGTCCATGATAATGCGTTAGACTACAATATTCTAATGTTAAGACAAAGATGAGAAGAAAGAGGGGGAAAGAACCGAGAGAAGAGAAGAAATATTTTGTGAAGGATAGTGTGTTAAATTACACTGCCACAGCCATATTATAAATAAACATGGAATGACATGAAGTACAGATGTACCCCTCAACAAAAATTTAGAATGACACAACAAAATGCTTTATAAGAACCGTGTGAAGCTCCGAAGGAAAGAAATATAAATTACATCTCAATCAAAATGGTTCCGTTTTATCNATGCTTGATGTTGTCAACCTATGAGCTTTTTCTTTTTCTTTGTCAGAACAATGCGTATTGTTGGTATGATATTTTTTTTACTTTGTTTTCCATCTATTTGGGTATGGCTATTACATAAATGCTCTATTTACCTTACAACAATTTTTGTAATTGGAACTAAAATTAATTTGTGTTCAATTAAATTGGTGTTCCCATCAAAATGATAATGAACGCCCAAAAAAAAGTACCTTTCATGGAATGAAGAACTTAATCTGTTAAACTAATCTCCTAATATGTAATTGTTTATTATTAGTAGACTTGTAATGTTTTAGGAGTTATCATACTATAAGTAGAATTAGTTTTGTTACTTAGACTTCTTGAATTCATAGACTTATAGTGTTTTAGGAGTTATCATACTATGAGTAGAATTAGTTTTGTTACTTAGACTTCTTGAATTCATGTGTTGGTGGAATAGTTTTATATTAATAAATTATATTTAAGAGTTTTCTTAGTCTTATGTTGTAGTGCCAAAAATTTTTATTGGATTCAAGAAGCCATTGAATTCATATATCAACATTCTTTTATTTCGTCAACTTAGTACACTTCGTATTTTTAAAAAATATAATCTAAATTTTATGATCTAACGTGTACATTACTAATATACTTAAGTTTAGCTAACTATCCCTCGTCGTGCAGGACCTTCATCCTTTTTAAATGTTTTCTTTATTGACTAAAAACATCTCCATTTTTAATTTTTTTTTAAATTCAAAATTTAAATTTGAATTAAAAATTCCAAAAAGCCTTTTTCCAATATTATACTTAAACTCATACTAAATTAAAGAAGATTCAAATTTTACTCAAATAAAAGACTCCAACATTTACTTAAAACATCAATCCTTAAATTATATTTTCTTTTAAAAATCTAATAATCATATTCTATCCTACTTTAATTTGAATTTATTCATTTTTAACTTTAAATTTCTTCATTGACGTATTTATATCAAATTAAACAATGCTCTAATAGATTTTTATGGTTGCAATTCAAATTAGTATTAAGCCACATAACTAATATTCTGACAATGAAGACTACTTCTGCTAAGTACAACCGTGAATTATTGTCAATTGTCCATGCGTAGTATGGGTTACCACTAGCCCTTCACTAGAGGAGTGTTAACTCGAGTATTTTAAGGGAAATAAAATTATATTTCAACTCACTAAAAGAAAAAAGAACTTTTGAAGGCATTACAAGGTGGAACAAATGAGAGGAAATTTAGAAGTCAAAGGGACTCTTGTGCCCAAAACTACAACAAAACAAGGTACAGGCACAATTTGACAAGATGCACCAGGAACAAAGCATAAAGGTTAGGGCCAAAACTTAGAAACTCTCACTTTCATTCGATGTTAATAGTAGCCGGTGACCTTATTAACCTCTGGTTCTGCGAACTCAAACATGATTGGAATTATGATTGGACTCCTCTGAGGATTTCAGGTACCACTGACTGAGCCGTTCTGCAGCTTTGGCCACCTGTGAGAATTAAAAAAAAAAAAAAGAAAAGAAAAGACCTTTGTAATCAAACAGTGTGTAGACCTTGTAAAGTATGAGCAAGCCAATCATTTAGAAAGAAAAAAAAATTGTATTCGCTTGTGTTCATAAGTTAATGCCTCCTTCCACTAACCTGTTCATTCCAATCAGTTCTCCAAGTCAGGAAGCAAAGTGTAAGCGACTGGGTTACCACCCCGCAGATCATTCCAATCCATATACCCTGTAAATCAAGACAAAATTTCAGCACGACTAGGACAAATGTAGAACCACAGGCACATAAATCCAATTCTAAGGCGACACAAGTATTATCACATAGGCACACTTCTTCCAAGTCCATGACAATGCGTTAGACTACAATATTCTAATGTTAAGACAAAGATGAGAAGAAAGAGGGGGAAAGAACCGAGAGAAGAGAAGAAATATTTTGTGAAGGATAGTGTGTTAAATTACACTGCCACAGCCATACTATAAATAAACATGGAATGACATGAAGTACAGATGTACCCCTCAACAAAAATTTAGAATGACACAACAAAATGCTTTATAAGAACCGTGTGAAGCTCCGAAGGAAAGAAATATAAATTACATCTCAATCAAAATGGTTCCGTTTTATCTCTCCATTGAAGAGTGCAATGTTTGACATAAAAACTAATGACCACCAAACTTGGTACCTAATGTGAGACTGTCCCAATGCAAGGAAGATTTAAAATTTCAATAATTATATAAGTGAGGCATCACCTTTACTTGAAGATTAGCCACATATCCAAGCAAACCTCCAACCGGAATCCCAATCAAGTAAAAGCAACAAAGATTGACAATTGCAACCGTACTTTGCATTCCTGCCCCTACTGCCACCCCTGCAAGAAAGATTTTAAGGGTCTAAACATTAAGCTTAAAAAAATATAGCAATAAGGAGAGCTGTTACAGAATGTCTACATTTGTCACGTGCATTTTCACAATTTAGTTAGCAGGAAATTGATTTTTCAAATTGTACAGGCCAAATATATACACACGCTTATAAAATTTGAAAAACAAGGGAATTATAATACCATGAAATTTGTTACTTGCCTGAAAGTACTGGATAAACGCTATTGAGCAATATCGAGAAAGCAAGGAGAAGGGAAAGATCTGATACTGTCTCTGCCACCTTATTATCACTTGTAAACAAGTATCCAATTTTGTTACCAAAGGCTAAGCAAAGAATCCAGAAGAATACTCCTATTATGACTGAAGTACTCAATAAAACTTTAATGGAAAATTTTGCAGCTTTGGCATCTCCTCTCCCTAATTCATTTGCAATTCGCACACTGTTAACAACAAATAAACAAAAAAAAAAAAGAGGAGTTATGATGCATAATGGCCTCTGAATTATCAATGCGAAAATACTGGAGATGGTTCTAGAAACTACTGACATACCATGCGGCACCTAGGAAGCCAAGGCTTATCATAAATTCCCATGCATTGATATTGAGGCTGCAAAGTAGTTGCTATAAATATCAATTTTCAGACCATAGCAAAATGCAAAAGAAGGAACTGAAACAATCCTTACCAAATAGAGAAGGCAGATATAGCAACCTCTGCATTTTGCATGTAGCCCGCCAGTAAGACTAAAACAGCATTGTACCATAACTCTAAGCTACAAAACGAGCAAAAAGCTAGTTGACTGTGAAAAATTCATGGTAGAAGCAAATTAACCATCATAGGATACAAGTGATTACTGCTGCTTCCACAAATAAAAGCAATAATTTCAATTTCTTTGAAGGCATATGATTTTAGGGAAACCCAAGGGTCGGGGGGTGGGGCTGGGGCTGGGGCCGGTTAAGGACACAAATTCCCAATACAACTGTTATAGTGTAGTGCAAAAAGTTCTGTTTTCAGAATTTTGAACGTTTTGCTTTGATCACCAATTTGCCATAAATGACTGGCAAAAACATAATCTCAATGACAAAATCCCAATCCCAAAGTAAACTGGCTCCTCCCATTGTCTTGAATTAGGTTTCTATTAGCTTGAAAACAATTTTATGTTTTTAAATAAAAGGAAGGTATAACATTTCCTTTATCATGATCAGTTTGCTACTAAATCTAAAACATAAGTTGTACTAACAAGTGAATGCCTAAATTATATGCATTGAAACAAAATAAATAAATAAACAACAATAAAAGACTGAACAGAGCATAAAAATGTCCTATGGTGAGCTTGATTTTTTCATCAAACAGAAGAAGCAGAGACGTCAAGAAAAATACTGGGATGGAAGGACTTTTGGCAGAAGGAGCCCAGTAGAGTATCCCTATGTCATTTTTTTCAATCCACCAAATAGACTTCATGCCTTTAGATGTAACAGAAATTTTTTCGTGGACTATCTTCTTTTGAATATCATTAGTTTTTTTTTAAAAATTGTTCCCTGAAATGATTATGAACTATGAAAGTTTCTTATGTGACAGCAATTAAATGGATAAAAAGGGACTGGGATGCCAAAGGGATAGGAGGTGGGATATCAGACTTGTTGACAGCAACAAGATAAGCTTTTCATTCAAGCAAATTCGATTAGCCTGTTATACACACACATACATAGTGGGGGCTGCATTTGTAGGTCAAATTTTTATGGCTGATGCAGTATTTTTTTTGTCAAAGTGATGCATTTAATCAAACCCTTCACAAGCAAAACAGTGAAATCCTGATTTGATATTGGGAAATTATTCGAATACACATCCCATAAAGTATGCAAACAGGGTGCACACCCTGCCTTAAACTTCATCATCGCATCTAAACAGTAGAACAATAAACAATCATCCTTTTTCTTTGGTATTTGGTCATTTAAATCTGTGGTTTTTTTGAGTCTCAAAAAAAAAAAAAATTGTTGGTTTCTCGTTAGGTGTATAAATATGATAGATGATTCAGGTATTTAAAATGTTAAATGAAGGATGGAGCATATGACATCGCATCACATTGATCATATATAGATGTTAAATGTTTCAGGCATTTAAATGAAGAACGCAAAGACTTACCAAACCATCACACCAGAGGATACTGAAAGCTTCACCACAGGCCATAGATCCTTGAAGGCATCTTTCGTGAAACCTTTCCATGTGTTTGGACACCAACCTCCAAAGATATAAATGAACTCACCAAATACCAAGAACCAAGAAGATATGCACAATGCACCCATTGCACCATTGAGGCCCCAGTTCAGCTTGTACAC